AGTTCCATGGTAGATATGCTAAATTCCACATGACAGCCAGCAGGTTGTAGTGGTTAGAGTCTTGAACTAGGAACTGGGAAGCCCAGATTCTAATCCTCTAATGGAAACTTGTTGGGTGACCTTCTACCAATTATACTCTTTCAGCCTAACCCACCTCACAGGGTTGTTGCGATTTTAAAATGGATGAAATTAGAACACTGTAAGCCACACTGGGTCTCCACTGGGGAGAAAGGTGGGGTATACAGTAAGTAAAATCAAAGAAACAAGTATGGACTACATAGGTTGGGTCCGGGGAACTCAGCCTGTGTCATGTGTAACACTCACATGTGAGTTTCTGAACACATGGTGCCCGGTTCTCACTGCAAATGTGATACACATAGACAAGGGCTTTGAGCCATTCCCCCTTCCCAACATTTTCTTGACCTGAAAACATCCTAGGGGAGCCCTAAGTGGCCCATTGGGGAAATGCACAAGTGCATACTGCAACGTGTGAACCAAGGGACTATTGCAAAGGGCAAGAGTGAGGACCCCGGACCCAACCAGTGCATTCCATAATGTGGAAGTTAGCACGTGTCTCTGTCCTAGCCCTCTATCATCTTCCTTATGTGGAGAGATTAATAACTGCCTACTGCATAAGACCACTAGAAAGAATCCTAAAGCACATAAAGTGTTAGCTGTTATAAATGCGAACTATTATCAAGTGGAAGACCTAGTTTTAATTGAAGCATCCTCTTGCTTTTGCTTACCAGAGGAGCATCCCTGGATGTGTGCAATGAATTCTATTTCTGTCCTCTCCCTTCTCCAATGTGCTGTTCTTCTAATCTCTCACCGACATTTTTTTGCTGATGTGCCGCAGTGGCTGCAGAAATCTCATCAAGCTCCACAGGAACTTACTTTCTAGTAAATGCACACTAGATTGCATCCTTGGGTTATACTCCTCAGAATACCCCAATCCTCAGAAATACTTTTGGGAAAGTAAAACAGGAGTAACATGGCTGATGACTAGCTAGAGAACATGATACTCGCTAGGCTACACACTTTAAGAGAGGCCCATAATTCAATGTCCTAACCTGGATGGCCCAGGCTAACCTGATCTTGTCAGATCTCAGAAGCTAAGTATTTGGATGAGAGATCACTAAGGAATTCTGGGGTTGCAATGCAGAGGGAGACAATGGGCAACCACCTCTGAACATGTCTTGAAAACCCTACAAGGTCACCATAACTCAGGTGTGACTTGACAGCCCTTTACACACACACACACTTTAAGAATGAGAGGCCCATTGAGAAAATATTCACATTGATGAAAGTCCCCCAGGATGTCACTGGAATACAGGGCGTGGGATGCGCTTGCATGATCAGCTAGCTCAGATGAAGCTGCCTTATACTGAGTCCCACTGGTGTCCCACTGCCTTATACTGAGTCCCACTTATACTGGCCCCACTGGTGGACCTCCTGATGGCACTGGTATTTCTGGCCACTGTGTGATACAGAGTGTTGGACTGGATGGGCCTTTGGCCTGATCCAACATTGGCATCTCTTATGTTCTTATGAGTCAGGCCATTGGTCCATCTAGGTCAGGATGGTCTAGTCTCACCAGCAATAGCTTTCTGGGCTGTCAGAGAAAAGCGGGGATTGACTCTGGGACTTTCTGAAGCCAACAATTGGGCCATGGCCCCTTCCACAGAGCCCAGCACTGCACTTTGTACATTGCAAAGCACAGCCGCTCCCACTGAGCTATGTTCCCTCTCCTTGGCCTTTTTGTCCATTCCAGCATAGGCTTCTCTGAGAAATTCTGAGAGCATCTACTTGGCCACCACCAAACCAATATGCTGGACAACATGAGACTTTGGTATAATTCAGAAGGGCTCTGCTTGAACTTTGAGGAGAGAAGGACAGTCAGGAAGCCCTTCAAGCCCCACCAATTCCCCATATGATTTCCTTTAAAAAAAACAAACAAAAAAAACTTGCTCATAGGCATCATGCAAAGTAGTGGCTGAAATCCGAACAGTGGACAATCTGCCATATGCTCATCAGGAAGCCCCACCTTGATGTGTGATGAGTTTGCGTGTGTGATCCAAATGCCAAGATGTGTTTGTCCAGGACGACAGGCTTCAATTATAAGCCATATGGAACTGGGATAGGCGTAAGCAGGCCCTGGGTTCCACTCTGCCACAAAGCTCACTAGGTGACCTAGGGCCAGTCACTCTCACTACCCTATCTCACAGGGGTGTTCTGAGGATAAAATGGAAAGGATAAAAAATAAGTGAGGTAAGTGAGCCATTGTCATGCATTATCCAGCACTAAACCTGTGTGCCCTCAGGTTGGGAAGACACTGGCCATTAGTTTGACCTGAAGAGTGCAGCACAATGAGGCATAAGTGGGCTGGATTAAAATTTCGCGCTCCTCCCTGCCCCCCCCCGCACCTACCTACAAGTGTAACCTAAGACTTGGCCTTTAGGGAACCTGCCTTCCAGGGCAAAGTGGATGTCCAGGCAGGCTCTGAATAGAGCCCCGACTGTCAATAACACGAAGCCTGCCTGAAGGATTTCGCTGGTTCACACAGGCACGCAGCCCTCCCGTGCCGCCACCGCGTTTTTGCGCATTTGGTTACTGGAATGGTGGGAACGTGTGAACGGCAGGATTTCGGGAAGATGGGCTTCCCAATGAAAGTTTCGGGGCACGAGGAACGCCGCGATCAGTTCGCACAGGCAAGTCCGGCTTCGGGTGTGCAGGAGTGAACCAGCTGAACGACGGAAGTGTGGAGGGAGCCTGCCAAGGAGAGGGCGACGGGGCGAGCCAATCGAATCCAGCGTACGGAGCAAAAGCGGGTCCGGTTTGGGCCTCGGGGAGGGGCCTGGCGCCCCCGTCCTCCCCCCCCCGCCCGCACGAGGGATCCAGCCGCTGCCATTACCTTTCTCCTTCAGAGGGGCGGTGAAGATCAGAGCGCGCGGCGGCCGTGCCAAAAAGGAGCCCGGGAAGCCAGAGCTGGTTTGGGGCGAAAGAAAAAGAGTCTCCGCCCCGTCTCTGCCCCAGCAACACCAGCCCCGCGCGTGACGTCAGCCCCTGCTCGGTCGAAGGCGAGCCTGCCAAAAGGCTGCCCGTTCAAAGTGCTTGGGAAGCCGTCGGAGCCGGAGAGCGAGGCGAGGTGCCTGCCTGCCGTGGCCCACGCCTTTCCCCGAGTCGGCGGTAGCAGCAGCAGCAGCAGCAATCGTGCCGCCGCCTCCTCTTCCTCATGAGCCCGACTTGCAAAGCACCCCGCTGAGCAACTCCTGGGTCCGGGCGACCAGCGCTCGGCGGGCAGGGGGGCTCCTTAGCCACAGGCTCTCTCCCGCAAAGATGCTGAACTCGTGGCTGAGCGCAGAGGCGAAGGAGGGATGCCGCCGCTCCTCCTGATGAGTGAGTACCGCAGCTCCCGGCTCTCCTGCCAGGACGGCTCCCTCCTGGAAGGGAGACTCGCAGATTCCACAGTCCGCGCGTGCGGGAGTTAGTGTGTGTGTGTGTGTGGGGGGGTCCTCTCAAGTCGTCGCCCATGAGCCCCCCCCCAACCCCTCTCTGCCCCGCGGAGTGTGTGATGCGTGGGCGCTAAGGCGCAGGAAAGGGATATGGAGAGAGGGGGTGCGCGGTGCGGAGGCTCTGGGACCGTATGGGTGGACTCTGGGAGCCATGGACTCCCCTCGAGCTTGCTTGAACGGTATAGCAAGCGTGGGATTGGGGAAGTTTCTAACAGGGTTATTTTGTGTGTTGGGGGTCTACTTTTCGAGGGGGGGGGGGGAAAGTCTAGTGGCCTGAGATTTTTCTCCTTCCCTTCCATCCATCGTGTCACTGCCGAAAAGCCCCAGAGACGGTCTGAATGCCTTTTAAAAGTCTGGGGTGAAAGAGAGAGGGAGCAGCAGCGGGGCCCCTAAGCGTCGGAGAGATGCTATGGTGGGGGGGGGGGTTGCTATCATGCCTCCCAAGCCTGCTCTTGAATCATACAGAAGGTATGGGGGTGGGTAAACTGAGAATAAGGGACCTGGATCCGCAAGGGTTCGTGGACTTTAAAATGCGGTCGCCCCCCCCCCCCTTTTTTAAGTGGCGGGGGCTTAATTCCATTACTCTCGCGTATACCCCTCCCTCCAACCTCCCCGTTTGACAATAAGGACATGATTGGGTTCTATAGAAAGGAGGAGAAAAGGGAGCGAGGCCAGGGAATCAGTCTCTCTCCCCGCCCCTCTTTCCTGGCAGACGACGGTCCCCAGCCGAGGCGTTGGTTACAGCTCTTGATTACTTGATGGGATCGGGGAGGGAGCGATTGGGGTGAAAATTACGGAGCTGAGCCGGCCACGGTGCTGAACGCGCTTGATTGCGGGGGGGACGTGGGAGGGGGAGCGGGGGAGAGAAGGAGTATTGGGGCAAGGCTCTGCTGGGGGAACCTCGGTCCTGCCTGGGGTCGAAGGGGGCCGGGACAGTTGGCTTAGGGGGTCTCCACGGCACCGGTAGGGGAGGTGTGCTGGAGAAGTGCTGAGCTGGCAGGTCAGGGAGGACTGGAATAATGCAAGTGGCTGGGGGAGGGAGGTAAGCCTTAAGTAGGGCATGGTGGGCTGTTAGCAAGTGGATGCTTCCCCCTTCTTCGTCCTCCCCACCCTGTCCCCATTCTTCCCAGGAGAGCAAAGGGGCAGAGCTGGGGAGTGGAGGGGAGAATTCAGTGGAGAGGACCGAAAAGCCAAGAGAGAGCCGTTAAAGAGGCTGTTAAGTCAAAGCGTGATGGGAGGGTGGAGAAGGGGATGCCCAGGGGATGTGAAAACAAGGTCCTAGTGGGGCATAAAAGTTCTTGGATGCGTTCCCAGGAAGCCAGAGGGGGAGGGGGAGAGACTGCTGCAAGAAACTTGGATGAAACTTCCTAGCTCTCTCCCCTTGTTCCTGCCTTCTTCCCAGCTGGCCATTTTAATTCGGGTTCTGCTTTTCCTTCCTCGTCCCCCCCCCCAAGGTTTGACTGTAGGTGCCGAAGCTGGGCTCGCCGGAGCATAAAGATGCTGAAGGGTGTTTGGTTGCTCAGTGTGTTCACAGTGGCTGGGATCTCGCAGACGGAGAGCCGCAAACCTGCCAAAGACATTTGCAGCAAGAGCCGCTGCCCTTGTGAGGAGAAGGAGAACGTGCTGAATATTAATTGCGAAAACAAGGGATTTACAACCGTCAGTCTCCTCTTGCCGCCCCCCTCCAAGATCTATCAGCTCTTCCTCAATGGCAATGCCTTTACTCGCCTCTTCCCCAATGAGTTTGTCAATTATTCCAATGCCGTGACTCTGCACCTGGGCAATAATGACATGTTAGAGATCCGAACTGGGGCCTTCATAGGTCTTCGAACCCTTAAGAGGCTACACCTCAACAACAACAAGCTGGAAATCTTAAGAGAGGACACTTTCCTGGGCCTGGAGAGCCTGGAGTACTTACAGGCTGACTACAATTATATCAGTGCTATCGAGGCTGGGGCTTTCAGCAAACTCAACAAGCTGAAAGTGTTGATCCTCAATGACAATCTCCTGTTGTCATTGCCTAGCAATGTGTTCCGATTTGTCCTGTTGACTCACCTGGACCTCAGAGGGAACAGGTTGAAGATGATGCCTTTTGCTGGTGTCTTGGAGCATATTGGAGGCATCATGGAGATCCAGCTAGAGGAGAATCCATGGAACTGTACCTGTGACCTTCTGCCTCTCAAAGCTTGGCTAGATACCATCACTGTTTTTGTTGGAGAGATTGTTTGTGAAACACCTTTCAGGTTGCATGGCAAAGATGTCACCCAGCTCACAAGGCAAGATCTCTGCCCTCGGAAAAGTGCAGGTGATTCTAACCAGAGGGAGAAGCACCCTTCCCACTCAGACACACACATCCATAGATTGCCCCCGACAGCTAATTCTGCCGTTGGAGCCACCAGAGCCCCCAAAGCCAGCCGCCCACCTAAAACAAGGAACCGCCCAACACCAAGGGTCACAGTGTCAAAAGATAGGCAGATATTTGGACCAATCATGGTTTACCAGACGAAGTCCCCTGTGCCACTCACTTGTCCAACAGGCTGCGTCTGCACTTCTCAGAGTTCCGACAATGGGTTGAATGTCAATTGTCAAGAGAAAAAAATAAGCAACATCTCTGATCTCCATCCTAGACCCACAAGCCCAAAGAAACTCTATCTTACAAGTAATTACTTGCAAACTATTTACAAAACAGATCTCTTGGAATACAGCTCATTGGACTTGTTGCATTTGGGCAACAACAGGATCGCTGTGATCCAAGAAGGTGCCTTCTCAAACCTTACCAGTTTGCGCCGCCTGTATCTCAATGGCAATTACCTTGAGATCCTGTACCCTTCCATGTTTGAAGGGCTACACAGCTTGCAGTACCTCTACTTAGAGTACAACGTGATCAAGGATATCCTGCCACACACTTTTGATGCTCTGGGTAACCTTCACCTGTTATTTCTGAACAACAACCTGCTGAGATCTTTGCCAGACAATGTGTTTGGGGGGACCACACTGACCAGACTTAACTTGAGGAACAACCATTTCTCATATTTGCCTGTGCGAGGAGTCCTTGACCAGCTGTCAGCTCTGATTCAGATTGACCTTCAGGAAAACCCTTGGGATTGTACTTGTGACATCATGGGGCTGAGGAACTGGATAGAGCGGGTCACAGAGCAGAACTCCCAGCTATCGGGACCCCCTGTTGTCATCAATGAAGTGGTCTGTGATTCACCAGCTAAGCACGCTGGAGAGCACCTGAAGTCGCTGAGCAAGGAGGCCATCTGCCCCGAGAACCCCAATCTGTTAGATTCTTCTCTCTTGTCACCGATTCTGAACACAGATGCACCGCATGCCTTCAGTGTCTTCCCCAGCTCCTATCCGGAAATACGCACCGAAGTCCCACTCTCTGTCTTAATTCTGGGCCTGCTGGTTGTGTTTATTTTGTCAGTCTGTTTTGGGGCTGGCCTGTTTGTCTTTGTCCTCAAACGCCGGAAGGGCATGCCAAGTGTGCCCAGCAGTGCCAACAACCTAGACGTAAGTTCGTTCCAGTTGCAGTACGGGTGTTACAACAGTGAGACACATGATAAAACTGAAGGGCATGTGTATAATTACATCCCGCCTCCAGTTGGCCAGATGTGCCAGAATCCTATCTACATGCAGAAGGAAGGAGACCCGGTGGCTTACTACAGGAACCTGCATGAGTATAGCTATAGCAATCTTGAACCTAAAAAGGAGGAATCGGCCAGCCTAGCATTTACAATCACTGCAGCAGAAATGCTGGAAAAACAGACCTTTTCCAGGGAACCTGAGCTGTTGTATCAAAACATTGTGGAGAGGGTGAAAGAACTGCCGAGTGGAAGCCTCGTCCATTATAACTTTTGTACCCTGCCCAAGCGGCAGTTTGCCCCTTCCTATGAATTGAGACGACAAAACCAGGACAGGCTAAATAAAACAGTTTTGTACGGGACTCCTAGGAAATATTTTGCAGAACAGTCCAAACCTGAGCTTCCTTTGCTGCAAGGAAAACTACAGACTGAACCAGACTACCTCGAAGTTCTGGAAAAACAAACAGCTATTAGTCAGCTGTGAAGGAGGAAGGGTCCGGGCTGGGAGGGGGGAACCATTTACTGGGGGAGAAAAAAAATCATTTTTTTAAAACTCATTAACCAGATTTGGAACTTGACACAAAAAATATGATATGTCACATCCTTAAAGTTCCCATTATCTTAAATACTGGCATAATTTTGGGCAGAGGTGTGATGGGTGCTTTTTTTCTATGTTCCCTTTAAATTATTTCTTACATTTCCTCCTATAATCTCTTTAGGAACTGTCTCTACAAATGAATGTTACTACAAGAGAGCATATCGAAATACCTTCTTTTGGGGGGGGAGGAAGGTGGCAGAAGGATGTCAGGAAAAGTCTCTCTCTCTCTAGTGCTCCATCCCTCCCTCCCCCAATTTAAAAGGTGAAAATAATGTATTAAATAGATGATATCCAAATATTCTCTCTCCCTGCCGGACTAGAATATTTCCTCTCCCTTTTTGTAAATAATATTGTCAGTGCAGCTCTTTCAATTTCCATGTATAGCCACTGGGCGTCACCTTTTTTTGTGTGTGTTAAAAGTGCCTTCGCACTTGGAGTACATTATTGCTTAATTGTCGCGCTTAGCTTTGATAAATTTGAATCTATTTTAATGTGTTGTATTTTTTGAAATTAAAAAAAAATGTAAACTAGATCAGTATGTCAGTTGCTTTCAATCCAACAGAGGCGGTTGTAAAGCTAACAGTAAAATCACCCCACCTTTAAGGAAGTTTAATTCTTCTAAGTCTTTTTAATGCACTGAATTTGCATCATTTTCCCCCAGCTGCTCCCAAATACCTTCCCTCTCCAGTTTTCTGGCCTTGTTTTACATGAAACATTGAAATCAACTAAGACTTTAGTAATGGACTGGGGTACTTGCCTGCATCACCTGCAGACATTTAATATTAAATATAGGCAGCCTGTTCAAACAATGTCCCATTTTCATGTTTAATCAAAATAATTTACATTTTTAATACTGGGGTTAAAACCTTAATTGTCTTCTATTCAGGTGTTATATTTTGTCTTCCATAAACCTGATGACCAGTAGGGGTTGCTTAATACTACCTTGAATAAGGAGAAATTTTAAAAAAAACACACGTACAAACACCTTGCAAAGGGTTTCCAAAGGCCAAATTAGAGCATGTATCCTTTTTTCAGAAAACCAAGCTAGGGCCTTGCATGCAATTCCTTTGTATTATGCTGGCTTGCATCTACAAGAGAATCGGAACTTCTGCTCCCTACAATATTTCTTGAATATCGAAAGATGCTATAAGAAGTGATCGAACCGATTAACCTTTGCATCTATCTTTCAGTAGGGTATTAATAAGCAGAGCAGGAGCTGGCCACAGCGAACCATTTCTAAATCCCACTGATTTCCAGAGGAAAGAGAGAGTTTAGCCATCCCAATGCAATCAAAGGATTTTATAAGCAGGGCTGCAAAAGAAAGGGAGGGGAGGCCTGGTACCCAGTCCCCTTTGGCACCCATAAAAATTGGCCCTGGTGCTTACATGGCAGAAGAGGGCTGAAAGATGCTTTTCCTCCTGCAGTTCCTGTGCTGCCATCTCCTCCTCTGACTTCTTTAGTCCTTTCTGCTTGCAGCCAGCACCCACTCATTGGCACCCTCCCTAATATGAGGCTAGGATTTCTAGTCTGGCAAGCTCTATCATCTCTTAGTTAAGCATGCTGGGGAGGGAAAAGGAAGGAAGACAGGAGAGATCTGGATTCTGATCTCAGTTTACTTGGGTTTCCGATAGTTTTCTTTCTAACTGGGTTCTTAGATTTTTTGCAAAAATGTTCCATCCTAAATATAAAGTCCCTTATTTTAATAGGATCATGCTCTACAAACAAAAACTGGTGATTTTATTCTCCTCACTGGGCCTTGTTTTTCAGCATCTTCAACTCCGTTTTCATCACTGCTATCTTAAATGTCTGTTTCTCATGGACATGGAGCCTGATTTAATTAACACAAACTTTATAGATTCTTATTAGCCTGTAAATCATTTTTCTTCCTTAGGTGCAAATGTAATTATGCAGGGTCCTCCCCCCCCCCTTACAAATTGCTCTTATTTACAACAAAACCAGTTTTGTTTTGGCCTATTGTAAATCCTTATGCAACTGGAATGGTGCTCAGCATATAAAGTAGGGCAAGCTTTTCAATTCCTGATTAAAGCAATTGATGGCTTCTGAAAGGAGCACACTGTTTCCTTTTCATAAATAGGTTACCGGACATAATAATCCTTTTATTATCATGCAAGGACAGAAGTGGACCCTGTCAAATGGAATTTTCAAGCTTTTTGCAATTCCTGATGATATCTTATCTACAAATGGGGAGGATCGTAAGCCAGAGAATTTTTTGATTATGAATGTGAGCAGTCAAAGCAGTTTTAATTGGAGGGAGGCCAATAGGAAGTAGCCTTATGTTTTGGAACAAAACGGGAGCCAAGTTGGTGGGTGTTATTGAGCCCGTGGTCTTCTCATGACTTATGTGACATCTGCATCAATGCTCTCTAACATGTCCATTCTCTGCATTTAGAGGCCATAATGCCCCCCCGTGCTGTTCCTTAGATCAGGGTTAATGCCGAGGATCCAGAGTGGAGAGTCAGTCTTCAAAACCAGCCTTGCTTCAAGGAGGAGAAATGGTACCCTATTAGTGGAACAACTTCTGAGCGCTAGCATCCATCCTTGAGTGAGTTGCTCATTTGAGAAATTCTGAAAGCATCTTATTAGTGATTCTGTCCTTGGTTTTAATAGAATTTATTTGTTGCTTAGACCACATGGAAAAAACAGGTGGATGGAGGACTTTTTAAAGGGGAAAAAAGCAGAGTTTTTTTTTTTGAGTCAGCTTGCTTCAGTGTTTCTTTCCAAATTGATTCCTGTTGCTGTCTTGCAAGAGAGAACCCCCACCCCCTTTTTTCCTTTTTACCTGGAGTACCATGGCCCCTGCTGGTGGCCAGGGGACCTGGCAGTCCTACAGGGTAAATACCTTTTCACCAGACAAACACATATTGGCCTGGTATATTCTGAAAAAGCATACAGCTTCTTCAGATCTTCATGTCACATGCTGCAATGTAAACCTGTTGAAGCCAACAGGAGTTCTCATGAGTGTGAACAAATAATCAAAACAGAGCTGGATGAATTTTTGAAGGCTAAACTCTGCTTAGGGTTGCTAGGCCAAACCTGGCAATGGGTGGGAGGACTGGGAGTAAGGACACCAGAGTGGGTGGCTGGGTGCATGTGACATCACCAACATCACTATGTCCAGGTTTTACCTGGAAGTGTCAAAGGATAGCTCTAGGGATCACTAGAAACTCAGAAGTGACCAATGTTCCCTGTAAGCTGAGTTAGTGTGAGCTAGCTCACATTTTTTTAGCCTCTGGCTCACAGATTTTGGTCTTAGTTCAAGAAGGATGTTTCCAAAGCAAACTGATTTATGCAGCAGCCAAATTGCTCGCTCACAACTTTAATGCTGGTAGCTCACAAAGCAGAGTTCTTGCTCACAAGACTCCACAGCTTAGTGGGAACATTGACATCTGCTACATTGCTGCTTTTTATTTTATTTTTCTACTGTCACTGCTCAGAGTGGCAGTGGGCAACAGGGCTTGCTGGCTGGAGGTTTCCTGGATACTGGGAGATCTGGCAAGCCGATTTCTATCCTGTTTCCTTAGTTTTGGCCTCCTGGGAAAAGAAAGACCTTCCCCACTGCATCGTAGATGTTACTATCTTCTCAAACATGGATAAACCCTAGGCATCAGGGAAAGTTAGCAATGCATACAAAACACTTAACCGGCAAGCAATTGCTTCCCAATGGCATAGCCTTGGAAAGACTTTCACACTGAAGTCTCGTTCACAGCCACAGAAGGTGAAATGGCAACATTCTTCCTGGGCTGTACTACTTCAGCCTATATTTCATCATGGGAGGAAAAATAACAACAGCAACAAATTAACTGCACACAGAAAACTAAAGCATCAGGGGAGAGACTATGCTGGAACTCCCTGACATCCAGGTTTCTGTGTGCAGGAATTATTTAAGCATTGGAACACCCACTTCCCCGTTGCATTCCAGAATGGTGTACTACAGAAAGAGTTTTGCCATGTGATCTGCTAGTTGGGTGAAGCAACCTGTACTTGTTTCACATGTGGCATTATTTCCCTTATTTGAATCTGTGTTGGTGCATGCTTGTGTTGTGTGGTTGTGTCTGGAGATCGGACTCTACACTTGTGCACAGTCTCATGTGGGAAAGTGTGCAATTGTTCCTTTTTCCAGTGGGAAAATAAGTATTCATGCAAAGTTCGTGTGAAGAGGTACCTAGATGTCCATGTATTTTCTACCCTCAGGTTGGAAAATGATTGTGTGTGACATGTCCTTATTTTGAGTTGGGGATCAAGACTTCATTTAGGACAATAATAGTTGTCCCCTGGATGTCAGTACCTCTCCAAAGACTTTTTGAAATCTTTAAGAGTTAGGTGGCAAAAAGAAAATCTTGGAGATTTTTACTGAATGATATACCATTTCTGATTGCATATGTTAATTTTTTTTATCCACGTAAGGTGCTCCTGGCAAAGACAAAATTACTATGCTGGGAAGCAGTTGCTAGTCTAGTTTCCTCCCTGTCATGCTAAGGCTGGGTATGTGATGAGATAATTATATGGGCAACATTCAGATTTTGACCACTATGCGCCATCTGAATGTTAAAGTTCTGGAAGGAAACTGGCATTGTTTAGATTGTGTGTTTCAGCTCTGAACAGTGCGACCCTAAACAGAGTTACACTCTTCTAAGCCCATTGGCCTCAGTGGTTTGGATCCAGGACGGTTGCAAAATCCGCACTGGGAAATTCCCTGGAGATTTGGGAGTAAGGTCTAGGGAAGGTGGGGTTTGGGGAGGGACAATATCTCAATGGGGCATAGTACCATAGGGTTGACCATCCAAACCATCCATTTTCTCCAGAGGAACTGATCTTTGTGGTCTGGAGATCAGTTGTAATCCTGGGAGATCTCCAGCCCTGACCTG